ATTGAGGGGTCATGTGTTATTACTCCTAAACCAAACGAGGGACACATTTCAACTACTGACTTCAATGCTATTTACACAGGATTTCAACCTGATGGGAAGGAATGCCCTTTAGCTTTAGCTCCCCATGGTCCAGATTTGGTCATTAATATTACCCTAACACAAACACTAACTTTGGTTCTCATTGCAGTAAGTGCTTTTTGTTGGGGTAATTTTGCTGACTTCTGCATCCTCAGGTGTGTGTCTGTCATTTGATAACTTGAGTGAGAAATAGACTCCAATTTTAGAATGAATCTTAGACAAACATTTCCAAAGTTGTGTACACATACAATGAAAACCAATTCTCAAAAGCTTTTTTGGGGTCTTTTGGCAGAATATGCCCTTCGAAGTAGATATTCAGTGCCAACTGTACTACGTTCTCTTGCTTCAAAGTTCTGCTGATGGAGCTGAAACTGGAGGTCACTACGTGGCAATGAGTCGTATCAAAAACCATGGGCGTGTAATTGACCACTCATCAACTGCTAATGGCATGCATGGAATTAAGATGATGGTCCCCTGTTCATCAAGTACAAAGAGTGCTATTGTTTACTCACCGTTGTCTATAAAGAGTGGGCGGAGGTTTGTGGAAATGGTTGTATTCTGTATTTAAGATGGGGAAATCTGAGGAAGAAATGTCACTTCCACTGCTGCTGGGACACAAGACAGAACAAACCAGAAACTGCAGAGAAACTCAAGAGCAAAGAAGATTCATCACTGCGAGTCTGTGATATTGGTCCAACATGAGCATTGACTTTGAATTCAGTAAGTGCTACTTGTTGGGGCGGTTGTGCATGACAAATGCTACAGATTATAACTGAAGAAAGATGCCACATTCAGATCACCTCAAATGGAGACACTGCTGATTCTTGTGTTCATAAGTGCTTCTCTTTGGGGTTGTCTTAATTGTGAGTCCCTCAACAGGCAAATCACTGGACAAATGCAGTGACTGGACTGTCAATTTTTATCATTGTCCTATGACTGGCTCTAAGTTTGTCACCAACATTACCCAAACACAAGCACTGACTTGAGTTCTGAATGCAGTAATAGCTACTTGTTGGGGTACTTTTGTTGACATCTGAAGTCCTGTGTTCCCTTTGAAGAATGTACCTACACTGCTATTCTAGATCAGTTGTTGCTGGGTGAGGAATGAAGTTTTGTGGCCATTTTATTTGAGGACAATTTATTGAAGGTATCGGGAGCAATACTGTGCGAAAATCATTCTCAGACCACCTCAAACAGAGTCACTGGTGATTTTTGTTTTCACAAGTGCTTCTCTTTGGGGTTGTCTTGGTTTTGAGAAGTTCCTTGGGGAAATGTCTCCACAAAGCTCATTGAGGGGTCATGTGTTATTACTCCTAAACCAAACGAGGGACACATTTCAACTACTGACTTCAATGCTATTTACACAGGATTTCAACCTGATGGGAAGGAATGCCCTTTAGCTTTAGCTCCCCATGGTCCAGATTTGGTCATTAATATTACCCTAACACAAACACTAACTTTGGTTCTCATTGCAGTAAGTGCTTTTTGTTGGGGTAATTTTGCTGACTTCTGCATCCTCAGGTGTGTGTCTGTCATTTGATAACTTGAGTGAGAAATAGACTCCAATTTTAGAATGAATCTTAGACAAACATTTCCAAAGTTGTGTACACATACAATGAAAACCAATTCTCAAAAGCTTTTTTGGGGTCTTTTGGCAGAATATGCCCTTCGAAGTAGATATTCAGTGCCAACTGTACTACGTTCTCTTGCTTCAAAGTTCTGCTGATGGAGCTGAAACTGGAGGTCACTACGTGGCAATGAGTCGTATCAAAAACCATGGGCGTGTAATTGACCACTCATCAACTGCTAATGGCATGCATGGAATTAAGATGATGGTCCCCTGTTCATCAAGTACAAAGAGTGCTATTGTTTACTCACCGTTGTCTATAAAGAGTGGGCGGAGGTTTGTGGAAATGGTTTTATTCTGTATTTAAGATGGGGAAATCTGAGGAAGAAATGTCACTTCCACTGCTGCTGGGACACAAGACAGAACAAACCAGAAACTGCAGAGAAACTCAAGAGCAAAGAAGATTCATCACTGCGAGTCTGTGATATTGGTCCAACATGAGCATTGACTTTGAATTCAGTAAGTGCTACTTGTTGGGGCGGTTGTGCATGACAAATGCTACAGATTATAACTGAAGAAAGATGCCACATTCAGATCACCTCAAATGGAGACACTGCTGATTCTTGTGTTCATAAGTGCTTCTCTTTGGGGTTGTCTTAATTGTGAGTCCCTCAACAGGCAAATCACTGGACAAATGCAGTGACTGGACTGTCAATTTTTATCATTGTCCTATGACTGGCTCTAAGTTTGTCACCAACATTACCCAAACACAAGCACTGACTTGAGTTCTGAATGCAGTAATAGCTACTTGTTGGGGTACTTGTGTTGACATCTGAAGTCCTGTGTTCCCTTTGAAGAATGTACCTACACTGCTATTGTAGATCAGTTGTTGCTGGGTGAGGAATGAAGTTTTGTGGCCATTTTATTTGAGGACAATTTATTGAAGGTATCGGGAGCAATACTGTGCGAAAATCATTCTCAGACCACCTCAAACAGAGTCACTGGTGATTTTTGTTTTCACAAGTGCTTCTCTTTGGGGTTGTCTTGGTTTTGAGAAGTTCCTTGGGGAAATGTCTCCACAAAGCTCATTGAGGGGTCATGTGTTATTACTCCTAAACCAAACGAGGGACACATTTCAACTACTGACTTCAATGCTATTTACACAGGATTTCAACCTGATGGGAAGGAATGCCCTTTAGCTTTAGCTCCCCATGGTCCAGATTTGGTCATTAATATTACCCTAACACAAACACTAACTTTGGTTCTCATTGCAGTAAGTGCTTTTTGTTGGGGTAATTTTGCTGACTTCTGCATCCTCAGGTGTGTGTCTGTCATTTGATAACTTGAGTGAGAAATAGACTCCAATTTTAGAATGAATCTTAGACAAACATTTCCAAAGTTGTGTACACATACAATGAAAACCAATTCTCAAAAGCTTTTTTGGGGTCTTTTGGCAGAATATGCCCTTCGAAGTAGATATTCAGTGCCAACTGTACTACGTTCTCTTGCTTCAAAGTTCTGCTGATGGAGCTGAAACTGGAGGTCACTACGTGGCAATGAGTCGTATCAAAAACCATGGGCGTGTAATTGACCACTCATCAACTGCTAATGGCATGCATGGAATTAAGATGATGGTCCCCTGTTCATCAAGTACAAAGAGTGCTATTGTTTACTCACCGTTGTCTATAAAGAGTGGGCGGAGGTTTGTGGAAATGGTTGTATTCTGTATTTAAGATGGGGAAATCTGAGGAAGAAATGTCACTTCCACTGCTGCTGGGACACAAGACAGAACAAACCAGAAACTGCAGAGAAACTCAAGAGCAAAGAAGATTCATCACTGCGAGTCTGTGATATTGGTCCAACATGAGCATTGACTTTGAATTCAGTAAGTGCTACTTGTTGGGGCGGTTGTGCATGACAAATGCTACAGATTATAACTGAAGAAAGATGCCACATTCAGATCACCTCAAATGGAGACACTGCTGATTCTTGTGTTCATAAGTGCTTCTCTTTGGGGTTGTCTTAATTGTGAGTCCCTCAACAGGCAAATCACTGGACAAATGCAGTGACTGGACTGTCAATTTTTATCATTGTCCTATGACTGGCTCTAAGTTTGTCACCAACATTACCCAAACACAAGCACTGACTTGAGTTCTGAATGCAGTAATAGCTACTTGTTGGGGTACTTTTGTTGACATCTGAAGTCCTGTGTTCCCTTTGAAGAATGTACCTACACTGCTATTGTAGATCAGTTGTTGCTGGGTGAGGAATGAAGTTTTGTGGCCATTTTATTTGAGGACAATTTATTGAAGGTATCGGGAGCAATACTGTGCGAAAATCATTCTCAGACCACCTCAAACAGAGTCACTGGTGATTTTTGTTTTCACAAGTGCTTCTCTTTGGGGTTGTCTTGGTTTTGAGAAGTTCCTTGGGGAAATGTCTCCACAAAGCTCATTGAGGGGTCATGTGTTATTACTCCTAAACCAAACGAGGGACACATTTCAACTACTGACTTCAATGCTATTTACACAGGATTTCAACCTGATGGGAAGGAATGCCCTTTAGCTTTAGCTCCCCATGGTCCAGATTTGGTCATTAATATTACCCTAACACAAACACTAACTTTGGTTCTCATTGCAGTAAGTGCTTTTTGTTGGGGTAATTTTGCTGACTTCTGCATCCTCAGGTGTGTGTCTGTCATTTGATAACTTGAGTGAGAAATAGACTCCAATTTTAGAATGAATCTTAGACAAACATTTCCAAAGTTGTGTACACATACAATGAAAACCAATTCTCAAAAGCTTTTTTGGGGGTCTTTTGGCAGAATATGCCCTTCGAAGTAGATATTCAGTGCCAACTGTACTACGTTCTCTTGCTTCAAAGTTCTGCTGATGGAGCTGAAACTGGAGGTCACTACGTGGCAATGAGTCGTATCAAAAACCATGGGCGTGTAATTGACCACTCATCAACTGCTAATGGCATGCATGGAATTAAGATGATGGTCCCCTGTTCATCAAGTACAAAGAGTGCTATTGTTTACTCACCGTTGTCTATAAAGAGTGGGCGGAGGTTTGTGGAAATGGTTGTATTCTGTATTTAAGATGGGGAAATCTGAGGAAGAAATGTCACTTCCACTGCTGCTGGGACACAAGACAGAACAAACCAGAAACTGCAGAGAAACTCAAGAGCAAAGAAGATTCATCACTGCGAGTCTGTGATATTGGTCCAACATGAGCATTGACTTTGAATTCAGTAAGTGCTACTTGTTGGGGCGGTTGTGCATGACAAATGCTACAGATTATAACTGAAGAAAGATGCCACGTTCAGATCACCTCAAATGGAGACACTGCTGATTCTTGTGTTCATAAGTGCTTCTCTTTGGGGTTGTCTTAATTGTGAGTCCCTCAACAGGCAAATCACTGGACAAATGCAGTGACTGGACTGTCAATTTTTATCATTGTCCTATGACTGGCTCTAAGTTTGTCACCAACATTACCCAAACACAAGCACTGACTTGAGTTCTGAATGCAGTAATAGCTACTTGTTGGGGTACTTTTGTTGACATCTGAAGTCCTGTGTTCCCTTTGAAGAATGTACCTACACTGCTATTCTAGATCAGTTGTTGCTGGGTGAGGAATGAAGTTTTGTGGCCATTTTATTTGAGGACAATTTATTGAAGGTATCGGGAGCAATACTGTACGAAAATCATTCTCAGACCACCTCAAACAGAGTCACTGGTGATTTTTGTTTTCACAAGTGCTTCTCTTTGGGGTTGTCTTGGTTTTGAGAAGTTCCTTGGGGAAATGTCTCCACAAAGCTCATTGAGGGGTCATGTGTTATTACTCCTAAACCAAACGAGGGACACATTTCAACTACTGACTTCAATGCTATTTACACAGGATTTCAACCTGATGGGAAGGAATGCCCTTTAGCTTTAGCTCCCCATGGTCCAGATTTGGTCATTAATATTACCCTAACACAAACACTAACTGTGCAGTAAGTGCTTTTTGTTGGGGTAATTTTGCTGACTTCTGCAACCTCAGGTGTGTATCTTATTTTGATACACACATGATTTATTTACTATTTATGTCACCAATGTGCTGATGGTTATTGTATACCTTGTATTTAAATTTTTCAATAAAACAAAAAAAAAATGTGGTACAGGTGACTCCAGGACCCACAAGATTGGCCACATCTTATGCATCACTATTAATAAAATATATTTATTAATAGTGTTATGTTTTCATGTCTTAGGTAAAACAGGACATGATATAGTGTGATATAGCTGTTTTTTCTCGAAAAACAAGTCGTCTAGAACCTAAAAAATACACTCTCATGCCATCTAAAATCATAAATTATGGATTAATAATGAATTTATTAATTTAAGATAGGCTATTTACATATTCTTAACAGATCTGCAGTTCAAAATATGGTATAGACACTTTTTATAAGGACTCTCTTGGGCCGGGTCAAATTTGACCCAGACCATCCTGTGTAGGCATTGGATATGAACAGTTTGTAAGGGTTAAAAAGTAAATAAAACTGTTTTTGATGCAAGAAAGGTGGCGAAGATGAACTTCAGTGAATTCATCACCAAAGCAGGAAAGCCATTCACTGAAGGGCAGTTTGTGGTGGACTGCATGTTGAGAAATGCCGATATTTTGTCTAAAAAGGCCTCATTGTGTCTGTTGTCCTGAAATGTTTTAATAACATCAGATCAGGGTTTACAGCACTGCCAGTTCAGGGCCTTTTTACAAGAAAATTAGTCAGCACATCATTTAGTGGTGATGAATATGACTTTGCTAATGAAAACTTTCCAGCTGTTTGCAGACCCTGTTTACTTACACACTGCAAAAAAGGAATTTCAAGAAAGTAAAAAAGCCTTGTATCAAGGAAATAAGTCTTATTTTTTGTTCAAAAAGAAAATTAATCTTGTCAAGCATGTTTTGCATTGGAAAAATAATCTAATTTTAAGAAAGTACGGCTAACTTATTCCAGCTACTTTTGAGCTAGAATGAACCAGTAACAGGGTATACAAATGTTTTACAATAAAACCCAGTGGAGCAACAAGATTATTTGCCTCATTTTAAGTGTAAGACCACTTGCACAACTTCTCAATTTAAGAGTGCCAAGAAACTTAAAATTAAAGGTTGTTTATTTTCATTTGTCATGTGTTCTCAGGCCATCTGAACCTGGCAGAACCTGCTGCTTCATATCTAACATATTAAAGGAGTCATATTATGCCCTTTTTCAGGTTCATAATTGTATTTTGTGGCTCTCCTACAATAGGTTTAGATGTTTTAATGTTTATGTTTATTTTTCTCATACTGCCTACAGCTGAGCACCTCTTTTCAGCCTCTGTCTGAATCGCTAGGTTTTAGCGCCTGTCTCTTTAAGACCCCCCTCCCGAAAAGCCCAGTCTGCTCTGATAGGACGGCATTATGACGCGGATTATGCGGCTCACGCGGATGACGCTCCGGCCCCTCCCCTTCGTTGCCGGCTCCTCACTGCTACTGAGATTAGCTTCATTTCTACCGTCAATATTAATTCAATAACTGCTTCTAAAGCAAAAACTTCACCAGCGGACATGTTAGAGCGGGAGTCTGACCTGAAATCACAGAGAAATGAACAACTTCAACAATCAGGATTACAGCTTTCTGTGACGTTTTCCTCAGGTAAATACTGCTATATTAACTACATATACATACATATAACTAATATATATATATATATATATATATATATTATATATATATATTAACCTCTATCTATCACATAATGTTAGTGTTTATACCTTAACTATGAGAACCAACACTGTGTTTTATGCTTGTCTTTACAGGTACAGCAGTGAGCAGTGACCTACAATCTACACAGCCCAGTGAAGTTAAACATATTATATATTACATAATATTAACAGCATTAGTCAAGCAGTTGTTTCTAGTGAAGAAACACCCAGTAAATGTACCAAAGTAATCAGAGTAATAGTATAATGATTACTGTAACCTCCCCTCTGTTATATTCTTTATACACCATTAGTTTACTGAGACCATGGAAACAGAAACCTGGAATACTTTATCCTGTACAACATGTCAACATAACTGAAGCAATTACTCATCTAATAAAGTAAATTGTTTATGTGGTTTAAAAACAGCTAAGTAACCAACTGTTAACGGTACTGTAGCCATATTTCATAGTCTGATATTTTAACTTAAAAGTATTATTACCAAAGTTAACCTTCAGATATGTGTAAAAGCTGCAATTATGTTTGAACCCCATTAAAAATACTGTATACTGAATATTCTATCATTTATATTATATACTGTATTATGATTATGAATTTATCTTCCAATGTAATAAAGTTTGAATGTGAGACAGTAATGTATTGTGTTGCTTACAGTCATTAATACAGGTTTAAGTTCCACATTTTCATATTGATAGATGTTACACGAATCAGGTTTTCAACTCTTGTACATCCAGGAAATCTTCATAAAACCTGAAATAACATGTTATTTATATAAAACCACACTTATTACTGAATTTAAAAATGACCAAAACTCTTTTTAAAAGTAAAACACTTTATTTATGTTACTTCATATTCCAGTTACACATGTTGTAAGTAACAAAGCTAGAACTTTTATGTAAGCTGTGCAGATCATGTTCTCCATCAAGGTTTATGGTTTCTAGTATATTGAAGTGTGAGCTGGTAATGGAGCTCTGCAGTCAGTGTTCATCTTCATCAGTCTTCCTTTGGATACCCAGACTGTCCTGATGCTGCAGCCGTCTCTGTCCTCTGATGGGTCCAGGAGCACCTGAGCTTCATCAGGTCACCCATAAAACAAGGCAGATTCAGTGTTACTTGTAAGGCAGCATATAATATACAGTGTAATATAATACAGTACAATTACAACAGCTCATTGTGGCACAAAGTAGTCCTAAGTTATAAACTAAAATAATAAGCAGTGTCTCTGGTGGTTCCTTGTTGCAGCTAACTGTAGTGATGTGTTGTTGAAACAGTCTGAGGTTACAAACACAATGTCTATCTAATGGCAGCAGATACACACACAGGACATTTACTGACTGTAACTGATGTTGTAAGTTCCCGGTGCAATAACAGACATTTAACAGTGAGGCTCTGTGTTTATAATACAATAGGAGATTATATGAGTATAGGATGTTACACTGGACCTACACTTATATCGTCAGTAATAGCAGTACTTCAGTAACACAAAATAAATGGATCAGAAACTTTTATTCGTCGGTTTGACTCCACATAAAGCCTAGTGAGCAACCCCAGCTGCTGGGTGCTAATCAAAGTTACAGAATATTACTAAACTAATGAATCCCTGCAGTTTGACTGTTTCTCTCTCACTGTAGCTCTAGTGTTAACTCTGGTGCACGTTGATCAAGTTCATTTACACACGTAACACACACACACACACACACACAACACACACCTGAACGAAGCAGAGAAACAACAAAGCTAGCGCTAGCTGAGATAACGTTAGCACGTCAGTATAAAGTTACACAATAATCACCATAACTCACTCTCTGTATTCTGTTAGCTTCTAAGGAGGCTTGATCACAGTTTGACTATTTCTCTCTCACAGTAGCTCTATCTTTACCTCCGGTACATTTACACACACACACACACAGAGCGGAGCAGGACAATGGCTCCGGAATAACAAAGCTAGCGCTAGCTCAGCGAGCTAACAGCTGATGAGCAGCTACAGTTTGTTCACTCGGAGGTTTTCTGCTCTTTCTAACAGCGACACAAACATATTACTGACTCAGCACGTTTAACTAAATACAGATCAACGTAAAGCCAATTACCCCCCGGACACAAAACACACAACAGTTACGGAGTAACGGAGTCCCCCCCCCCCGCACGAAGCTTGGTGATTCACGACATAATCTTTGTGTGAATCTCTATAAAAATATCAGCAGGGGAGAATATGGAGACATCTGCACCAGCTGGTTAATACATTAACTTCACCTTATAAGTTTCATGTTCATCTTGCACACATTTAACAAACATTTAACAAACAATAACAAACATTTAACAAACAATAACTACGTTAGCATCACTGAGGCTCCTGCAGCTAACAGCGGTTAGCATGTGCTAGCAGTACACGAACAATGAAAAACAGCATCAATTGTTAAAAATCCTTCCAGTTTCTTCCTCTGCCGTCTCTCCACAGACAGTTGGTACAATCCCTCTTTCAGGAACAGTCTTTCAGTCAGTCCACTGTTGTACTGACCGAGGTTGTGAAAACAGTCCGAAGGTTCACACACACATTCCGGTTTTCGTGACTCTAGCCGGACATCGCCAAAAAATAATTTACATACATTTACATATGTAAATTAGTGTTGGGCTGTGCAGCCAATGACTGAACAGTTTGTCTGCTGAGGCCTTTGCCCAGACATTAGGCTGCAGGCTGCTGGCTGGACTTGCTTGTTCTCCGCTAGCTTGCCTTTTATAGTAACAATGGCAGAGCTCCGATAGTCAACAGGAAGTAAAGAGAGGTGGGTGGCAACAGGCAGAGCATGTGACGTCACAAACTACTACTCCTATATTCTGACTGAGGCAGCCCACAAAAACATGATTGAGTCATCTTTTTTCACACTTTGCCTGCTGATAGGCCCTCCAGAGTCCTAAATGTACATAATCAAATGATTAAAAAGTTGGTTTTGCATAATATGTCCCCTTTAAGATGACAGCAGGCTGGCCTATACAACATAATACAAATAACCATGCTGGACAAAAACGGCATGGCTCATAAACAAACCAAAATGACCAAAAATGACCAAAATGAAATGACCCTTGACTCAACTGCATTCTCAATCACAATGTAGCAATGACTATGGTTTATGCAGTAGGATCCTGCAAACATCAGCATAAAGACTGCTATTAATTCATTGATTGCTGATCTGCTGTTTTATCATTCAGATTAAAGTTATTTTGATACATGAAAAGAAGAAACAATCATGAAACAAAAAAAAACAAAAAACAGTCAAGAAACAGTTTGTCTGCGAGAGGCCAACACATTAAACAGTGTGCCTTTTACAGGTCATCAGATGAGGCTCTGTGTAGCCCAAGCACATCTCCCAGATAATATTTCGGAGGAACATATGTCACATCCTGAGTATAACTGTAATATGGAGTGTAATCTACCAGACTATCAGGCGTTATTAGTTCAGTTGCTTGTGCCATGTTTGGAATCTCTATTGTATATGCCATGTCATTTCTATCATAACAAACAGTATTATGCAGCTGGAACTCAAAACAATCCATTTAACAGACACTGCATTGTTTATGTGATAATTTCCAAGGAAAGCCCTCATTTTTTCTTTTAAATATGACATGCTACGTATTTCTGTTGGTACCAATGCACACCCAAAAAAAATTGGGTGTTCAGATTGACTTACATTTTGACAACATTCATACATGTGATTATGCCTTATTAAAGACTTGCAAACATTTCTAAAATTTAATTTTGAGGCCCACTGTTTGAAAAAACTATGTTTTGATTCAAATCTCATGCACATGTGACGGACCATTGGTCCCAGGAACTTTATCTGCGATGGAGCATGAATCAAATAATGCTGTTTTGGGTAATGTTGTTATCAGGGAAAAGATTTTTAATATGTTTTAAATGCTGTTCAATTAGTGTTTTCAACTTGCTAATTGTCTGTAGACCAATGACAGGAGCAAACAAAATTTTAACAATTTCTATGAGTTCAAGAATTATTTTGTAGTATACATTATCTTTAACTGTATCAGTAAGAAATGGCAATATTGTTAGTAGAACAATCATTTGGCCTGAGGACTACTTCAACTTATTATCACTTGAAGCTAATGTGCTGTAAGCTATAGGGCTTGGTTTGTCTGTGACATCAAGTGGGGAGTAGGGAAATCCAGTTAATGCAGTATTGAGGACATCAAAGTCTAGTTGACCTAAAAGAACTAGGTGTTTTATCACACACTTTATTTCTAATGGAGCAATGCCTTCAAGAATTATATGCATCATATCCTGGGGTGTTTGTTGGATCAAGTTAAAGGCCGGAAATTCTACCAGCTTGCTCCTTCTGTTGATGCCAAATGTAGTTTTTAAACTGTTTCTAAGATACTCAGTATTTGCCTTCTCAATGTCACCACACTGCCGAACATGTCTTTCTAGTGTCCTGAGCTCAAAGTTGTCCTCGTCAAAATACATTTGCATGTCCTCAAACAAACATTCACACTGCCGGCACTTACTATAGGCAAAGCCAACACTCTCTTTAAATCCACAAAGCTCATGTTGTGCTAAAGTGTCTCCACATATCAAAACCAATGCTCCAAATATTTCACGTTCACCATTCCCAGTTTGAATATTAACACCACCATATAAAATTACAGAGTCCTCATACAACCTGCCCAAAATTCCATCAACTCCACATTCAGACAGCTCGCTCTTCTTTGCAATAGCAATTAGACGGACTGCAGCTAGTTTTGATCTATATTTTGGATTAATGTTTCCCAATGTATAATAAAACATTAGCAAATTTCAATTTCATCAGAGTAATTGATTATCTGTAAAGCAGAGGGCCGGGCTGAAAATAAAGGGAGTGATTTCATGAGCTCTCCATCGATGATGTCATACAAATACCCATTTCTGTATTTCTGCAGCTGATCTATCATTTCCAAAACCTTTGGATGGGACAATAACTGTTCTAAACTTTTGATCAGAGGTATGTAATGAAAACATTTGGGTATTGTAGAGAGGACCCTTTTTGTCCCTTTTTTCTTCAAGCAGGCAGTATACCCAACAGAAACCTCCTCTGACTCCACAAAATTGAAATTTTCCATAATCACATTGTCCTGCCTTTATGTTGTCACAACAGAGGCAAATGGATCCTCAATCCGGTCAAATACTGCCATCGCTTCCTTTTCAAGTTCATTTCCTTGATGTTGCTGGAATACAGTTTGTAGCTGACTCCTTAGATTAGTCACCAACAGAGCTTGGTATTGCTGCATTGCTGCCAAAACATCATTCACACCTCGCTGAAAAACAGGCAAGAAAGGGGAAGAAATCAAATCCAAACAGTCCAGTTTTAAAATTATTGTGTAATGCTTCCTATAATGAAAATGACCATACAACCCATTTTATAGAGATAATAATAATAACTAGAAAATTCCTAAAGCAATTTTGATTGTGCCTTGCTCTGGCCCATATGTTAATACCATGTCTATGTGCTAACCGCTATTTAACCGCTAATCGCTAGCTTGCGCTAATCGTAGTAAGTGCTAACCGATAATTGGTAGCTAAGTGCTAGCTGTGGTTAATGTGTTTAATTGTATTATGCTCCTGAAGGAGTGCTAATGTAAATTAAGGAACAGC